ACAGAATACACATTAATATCCACTGCTGTATGGCTATCTGTTATGTTAATTTACATAATAAACCTGATTTAACGTTCACAAACCGGGATTGAAGCATCTTCTTTTATAATTGTACTGACACGCGGCTGTGGTGATAAAGATGGTAACATCTCTGTAATTCATTACAAACATGCACTGTTTAAAACACTTTAAACTTGTAAAACTCACTCTTAATCACATTTGATGATGACTGATGATCACAGAGCGCTGAACAGATCTTTTAATCCTGGTTGTTTGCCCAGGGGGCGAGGTAGTGGCGCTGTAGGTAGTGCTGTCGCCTCAGAGCAAGAAGGTCGCTGGGTCGCTGGTTTTAACCACGGCTCAGTTGGCGTTTCTGTGTGGAGTTTGCATATTCTCCCTGCCTTCGCGTGGGTTTCCTCCGGGTGCTCCGGTTTCCCCCACAGTCCAAAGACATGCGGTACAGGTGAATTGGGTAGACTAAATTGTCCGTAGTGTATGAGTGTGTGTGTGTGAGAATGTGTGTGTGGATGTTTCCCAGATATGGGTTGCGGCTGGAATGGCATCCGCTGCGTAAAAACTTGCTGGATAAGTTGGCAGTTCATTACGCTGTGGCGATCCCTTTTTTTAATAAAAGGACTAAGCCGACAAGAAAATTAATGAATGAATGACTACGGAGCCATGTTAATACGCGGCTGTCAATCAATTCGGTGGGTGGGAAAACAGCACTCCTACATCATGTTGCTGTCGGCCTCTAAATAGGAGGGATTTGGATCTTATTTTAAGGTCAGGAAATTTAAAAAAGAGAATTATTGGGTGTATATTACCCCAATATGACTGTATGACAATATGACACCCCAAACAGCTTACAAAAGATGATTTTCATCATACGTGCCCTTTAATGTCTCTTAAAAATATTTATATTCTAAATATGCCTGGCAGTTCTTTTAGTTGGTGTCTTTCCAGAAAAAAATGTTTTATGTAGGTCTATTTACAGAAACTGTATAAATGGCTTCTTATTTAAGCTGCCTTTGATTATGTTAATGATCACACAGCGTCAAAGCTGTACTGCACATTCATATGTCTTGTTTTTTTCATGGTCTTAGCGCCTTAATATGTGACAGCAATTCTGTGGTTGTGGTACATGCTGTTGTTTGCCCCTTTTGAGAAGCTTTTGCTGTCCCCTGTTGATAGTACTCTTGTAATACAGGATGTGAGTAGGCCTTATGCATATGGTTTGCAGGTACATTGATTTCCATTTGGCTGCAAAAAGCAATGCACATTTTACCATTATGCACAGCAACATACCATTTACACACATTATGCTAAGAGATTTCCTTCTGATTGCTTGCTTTGCTCCAGAGCTGCATGTCTGCAATGTCTCAGTGTTTAAATTACAGCAGAAAAAGCGACACATTTCAGACACATGCTATCGTTGCTAAGCAAACAGAAGCTAATAATATCCTCAGTAAGCATTTATTGCTAAAAAGCTATGGAAAAGCACTGCACGTCATGAATGGAATCCATCAAAATACAAAGGTGGATGACAGGCTAGTAATTAGCCCATAGTGTGGTTGTCACTTCTTGAAATGTCTGAATTAAAAAGACTGTAGAGAGAATGTGTGCGCGCGCGTGTGTGTGTGCGCATGTGTGTATGGAAGGATTGGGGGGGAACACTTGCTATAATTGAGCAGCGTTGAAGACGACAGCGTTTCATCTGCAGCAGGTGTTTAAGAATTACTGGTCTCATTAAAAAAGGCTGTTCGAGGAGGACACTGGAACACACACAATTATGTGATGCTCCTTTGCAGATAACAAGACTGAACATTGTTATCTGGGAAGGGAATGGATAAAGCTAAGGGAACTGATGAAGGTCTGATGAAATTCCTGGTAGGTCATGACTGCTGTGACATGCGGAGGGACTGAGGGAAACTGTATAAGGGCCATGTGTAAAGGAGGATTTGCAGCGCTGATTAGACGGACAGACAGACAGACAGACAGACAGACAGACAGACAGACAGACAGACAGACAGACAGACAGACAGACAGACGGATAGACAGTTAATAGACAGACAGACATACATACATACAGACGGACAGACAGACAGACAGATAGATAGTAGAAAGATAGACAGATAAATAGACAGACAGACGGATAGACAGTTGATAGATAGACAGACAGACAGACGGATAGACAGTTGATAGACAGACAGACATACAGACAGACAGACAGATAGATAGATAGATAGATAGATAGATAGATAGATAGATAGATAGATAGATAGATAGATAGATAGATAGATAGATAGATAGATAGATAGATAGATAGATAGATAGATAGATAGATAGATAGATAGATAGATAGATAGATAGATAGATAGATAGATAGATTGATAGATTTAAATTGGGTGCCTAGTGCGTATTAAAGATGCAACCAGTAGATGGCGCAGATGTTATTCTGAAGTGAAATCTTCAAGTATATTTCAGGCTGTAATGTTGCTCTATCTAAATCTTTTCCACTGGGCTTTTTACAAATGTATCCAGCTGCTGTCAAACATAAAGCCTCTGGAAGCCCTTAGGGAGACAGGACAATTCTACACTGCAGTTCCACACACTTATATGCTTTTACAATTCTACACTATTTCATTTCCCTGTGATTCAAATCTCAATTTTCAGCATTTTCTCTAGGCTTCATTGTCACATGGTCCTTCATAAATAATTCTGATGTGCTTATTTGCTGTGCAGGAAACATTTCTGACGTTGTGCTGTTTCATATTTTGGTGAAAAAAAATATTGTCATAAATACCACGCTGTAAAACCCAACAGTTAACCATATCAATTAAAATGAGTGTAGTGAATTTAAAATTGACTAAAAGTTAATTCTACTTATTTGAAAAGAGTTTTGAACTAAGTGTAGATGTTGTTGAGTTAATTAAATACCTCATTACTTCAACTTAAAGGAAGTAAGTTCACAAAAGTCATATAGATTAGCTTTTTACTCAAATGGTTTGTAGCAATCAGTTTCCTCAAACAATTTAAGTTGCTTTGACTAATGGGGTTTTACAGTACAGTTGGTTTGAGTTCTCTTCATTTATTGGGTTTTACTTTGCTAAAATTTCTTCATTTACTGATGGATAAAGTTCACAGTGCTCAATAGGATTAGTTTTTTAACTTAAATGGTTTGTTGCAATTAATTTGCTCAAATGGTTTGAGCTACCTTAACTTTTTGGGTTTTACAGTATATATATATATATATATATACTAATATAATATTAAAGAATTTGTTATTATTAATTACTTTATATGCTATATGATCATTTAAAAGTATAATTCAAAAATGCATTTTCTTAAAAAGGTACAAATATAATTGATCAAAAGTGACACAACAACATAACCCTTTTCTTATTTAGTTTGAAATAATTGGTATTATTTTACATCTTCTATTCAACAAATAATCATGACATTAAAATGCTTTCCGTAATAAAAGTAGCCTAAAAAATGTCAACATTGATGGGAACCAATATTAATAATTGAGCACTATTATTACAGTAGAGCAATTCAGCAAAAAAAAAAAAAAACATTGAAAAGTAAAATAAATATTATTCCACATTTAATTATTAATTAATAATAATAATTATATTTGATCTAATGAATGTTGCCCATAAGAAAAAAAAAATTCCATTAAACAGAAATGGGGACAAAATATACATTGGACTAATAGTTCAGTAGCTAATAATTCTGACATTAAATATATAAACAAATAATTTACTACATTTTATTAAATTTAAATAACGTAATACTACTTGCTGACAACATTGTACGATATAGAGATATAAAGAACAGCAAAGTTTATTAAAGATTTAAAATGACAATGATTTTTTGGGCTTTATTGTGATACATAAATAGCCTTTTAATGTCTCATCAAATTATTTCTGTTCAAAATATGCCTGGCAGTACTTTTAGTTTGTGTCTTCTGTAAATCATGGTAAAATGTTTTCTGATATGCTGATTTGCTGTTCAGGAAAGGTTTCTGACGTTATGCACTTTCATATTTTGGTGAAAAATATTTTAACCCTTTGACTGCCCCTCTACCAAACAGTTGACCATGTTTTACTGTTTTAAACAATGACAAAGTCATTTAAAGACTGACTGTTTTAAATAATCAATCAAATCAAACAAACATCATGTTGCACTACTAGACTTGATTTTAGTTTTATTGTAAAAAAAAAAAAAAAGTATTCAAAAAGATTTTATTTACTTTTTTTTAATTAGTCACTTATAAATTGGTCACTTACAATACATATTTTCAGATTTTTCATAGTATTAAGTCTGGTACTTTTACCATATATTGACATGTCTACAATTTGGTAGAGGCTGATATTTTAGAAATTATGGGATGTGTTGAAAAAAAATGCATGTGTTAACTAGCGACAGGAGATAAGAAATGCAATCCAAACATTAAATTAAATGGATAAATACTATATATATATATATATATATATATATATATATATATATATATATATATATATATATATATATATATATATATATATATATATATATATCATTATTTATAGATTACTATATATGCTATACTTTTATTATTTCTATAATACTTCTCAATATCTCATTGTATTTTGAATCTAAATGGTGCGCATGGGCAAACAGACTCTAAACATTCAGTGGTTCAGTTCCTCACAGCTGTTTGAATCTGCTTTTATTGCGAGTGGATAACAATAAAATATATATTTTGGTAATTTTCCATAAGAGTTAACATGACTACTATGTAATAATAAGCATAGCGTGTATCTTACTCTGTGTGGCGTAGCCTTGCCTACATCATCATTTTCGGACTCAAAACAATCCGCAAAGCTTTTCATCCTTAAATACACCAATAACAATCCTGAAACACGGTTGTTACCTTACTTACAAAAACCCCGAGCTCCTGGCGGGACAAGTAGGGCAAGTATTGTGCTCGTTGCGGCGCGCGTCACACACGCCCCTTTTCATTTGCCGCTCTACGCGACGCGTGTTCGCTCGCGCTCTTCTGCTGCAGAGAGTGGCGCTCGTGACGTCATCCTGCTGGAGCGGCTGCTGGGCACGGGCGGAAAATGGGCACAGATCTGCGAGGTGAGAGGCACACTTTCTGACACATGTAACATGTTTTGGATGATGACAGCGGGGACGACGTGTTTCTTGTCATTGGTATTGCTGGTATTATCAAACGGCGGTCACGTAGTGAGCTCGAGGAGACGGATTTGTACCGCGACTCGCCTACGTTATTGGAGAAAAATGGTGAAAATCTGCTGAACCGTGGTTTCGCCGTCGGGCACGAATTTGCAGCGAGGTAACATACCTCCAAATATATGCCCGTGACCGACATGCTCGAATTGCGCTTGACATTATTATTATTTGTCTCATGAATTGTGGCATCTCCACGGTTAATGTGAAAGAGGTAGAGCCGCATGCGGAATCATCCCTCACATCTATGTACCCAGGAGAGTGAGAGCATGAGCTCCATTTCTGATTATTTAGTGCCTCCACCCTTATCTTACATGACATGTTTGCCCACGACCGCATCAGCTGTCATTGAGACGGAGAACAATCCTGATTATTTAGGGAGAAATCCCCTGTCAAATGATAGGTTGTATCTCAAAACATACTGAGCTGCCTTTCTAGTTAGCTGCCTACGTAAACCATAATGTCGCCGGCCTTTTTTCTTGTCTGGATGATTCCAGATATGGTGGACAGTAACTCAATCAGTTTAACAATTTTGTAGTTGTTTTAAAGCATTTACTTTGAATTCATGATGCTTGCTATTTACACCTGCGTTTACCTTTGTTTTGTTACACTGACTAGGCTGCTTTAGACAGGTTACTGCTTAATTTTATGGCTTAATATTGCAATATTAAGATCAGTCTGACTAAAAATTAAAACGTATTATTTTCTCTTTTAATTGATGTTTCATTTGCTTTACTTCAAAGTGATACAAAAGTTATAAAGACTAACTAGATTGTTTGGTGTAAATGTCAAACTAGATAGCCAATGTGTAGATTTGAGTTCTAATTATTTCAGATTTAATTTAATTTCTTGTTAATTTAAACATTGTTTTAATTTAAGTTTTACTAAACTTCAAATTCAATATTATTATTTTAGATTTATTTAATTATTCTATAATATTGTTATGCATGCAGAGTTGTTTGTCCATGCAGTCTCCTATTTTGGACACTTCACCTATAAAATTGTTTTTTGTTGAATGCCGAGAGCCGAAATGTTTTTACACACAAATTCAGTTCAATTCATGCTTATTTCAATAGCACTTTTACAATGTAGATTGTGTCAAAGCAGCCTAACATAGAAGTTCTAGTAAACCGAAACTGTGTCAGTCCAGTTTTAAGAGTTGAGGTTCAGTGTAGTTCAGTTCAGTGACTGAAAATTCACACAAACATAGTGGTGGTACTGTATTAAAGAGCTGCTTTCAAGAGTGAATACTCAATTACTGATACTGAGTGAAATTGAGTGTACATCACTTCTGTTACTATAGTAAAGGGGAACATGCTTGTTAATGCAGAATCTTTTTTTAAATTTTGTATCTTTTTGTATCATTACATGATTAGAATGAGATTTAGAGAAAATAACACATAATGCACTCACCCTCAAGTGGTTCCAGATCTTTGTGAGTTTTTTTCTTCTGTTGAACACAAAAGAAGATATTTTGAAGAATGTTGGAAAGTGGCAGCCACTGACAGAAAAAAGACAATATTGTGAAAGTCAGTTGCTACCAGTTTCCAACATACTCCAGAATAAATTATTTTATGTTCAACAGTATGTAAACATGTTTGTAAACACTTGAGGTAGAGTAAATAAAGACAGAATTTCCATGTTTGGGTAAACTATCCCTTTAATGAGAACTGACAATGAGAGCGAGTATTATCTACAGCTTCAGACACTGGTGGTCCCCTGTGTCTGTTCTGCTATTGATTTCAAGCATGTTCAGGACTGGTTTGTGTACTTCCTGTGTGGACTCTTTATTCATTATTATATACATATACAGTTGAGTCAGAATTATTAGCCCCCTTTGAAATTTGTTTCTTTATTAAATATTTCCCAAATGATGTTTAACAGCAAGGAAATTTTCACAGTATGTCTGATAATATTTTTTCCACTGGAGAAAGTCTTATTTGTTTTATTTTGGCTAGAATTAAAGCAGCTTTTTGTTTTTTAAAAAAACAGTTTAAGGTCAAAATTATTAGCCCCTTTAAGCAAATGTTTTTTTTTTTCGATAGTCTACAGAACAAACCACCGTTATACAATAACTTGCCTAATCACCCTAACCTGCATAGTTACCCTAATTAACCTAGTTAAGGCTTTAAATGTCACTTTAAGCTGTATAGAAGTGTCTTGAAAAATATCCAGTCAACTATTATTTACTGTAATCATGGCAAAGATAAAATAAATCAGTTATTAGAAATGAGTTTCATATATGTGTGTGTGTGTATATATATATATATATATATATATATATATATATATATATATATATATATATATATATATATATATTATAGTTAATTAGCAATAAAGAATTTACAGTGTCATTTTACATTCCGTTTGATTATTAAATAATAGTAAAAAAAATACATCTTATAACTTTTTGAGGCATTTTTTCCCCATTCAATTACATATATCATGATATATTGTGGATGGTTTTCTTGTAGTATTGCAGACATTGTGATCTATCATTACTGGTGGCAAAATATCATGATAATATCAAATTGTAACGTATTACTGTACCTGATTTAAGGCTGGGCGATTAATAGAAAAGTAATTGAAATCGACATTCAGAACCAGATGATTTTTTCTAATTATATTCCCTATGTGTCACGTCACCCCGCTCTGTTGAAGGCTGTGGCTGATTTCTACTTTTGCAGCCACATCGGATCTCTGATCAAGTCGGATGATGAACTCATTTTTGAGCCTTACTTTGCACTTCACTGACGATGATTGTAAGCTGTGCCAGAGATTCCTTGAGACGGCATATTATCCATTTCATTAAAATTATTATTTACATTAAAACATTTGTTTACAGAAGATGCAAGAAATGTAGTGTTTAAAATGTAATTTACAGGATATGCAAAAGTTATTTTAGTTATTATTTATAATGTTTCCAAAGGTGCAAGCTATTTATTTTCACTTTTTTATAAGAATATACGTGACTTTGCGTGGTTTTAGGCAATGGTTTTAGGCAATGTGTGCTTTAATTTCAGTTGTTTAACGTTGGCGTGTATTTCCTTCAGTTATTTTAAAATCTAGTAATGCACCCTTCAATGTGAAATCTCTCAGTTGTAAAATGTGAGCATATTTACTCTACAAACTTGTCCGTGAACTATGAGGGCAAAAAAATAAAATAAAGAAATAAAATAATGGTTTACTTATTGTAATTGAGTTAAAATGTTCAATTAATCGAGATGTTGATTTTAGACCAAATCGCCCAGCTCTAACCTGAATATCTGACTACTTATTTCACTTTTATTTTTGCTCCACCTTTTTATCCTTCTATTTCTTAGATTCAAGATTATTCCAATCAGTCTAAATTATTGATTTAATTCCAAATAGAGCTATTTAAGCCATCTGCTGAAATTGTATTCATATCGCAATATATATCGCAGAAAAAGATAAATATTGCAATGTCCGATTTTTCCAATATGGTGCAGCCCTACTTTGTTTATTATTTTGTATATATTTCATATGTTTTACATTCTTTAATAAAAAGTTAAAGATGTTCTACACAAGTGAGAAAACAATTGAATAGGAAGCATTTTTTAAATTTATTTTAAAATGTAAAAAAATGCTTAATATTAGGGATGGACCGGTATCAGATTCTGACAGTATGATAACCTTGGATAAATATATCACTGTTTCATAATATTGTGATAACTTCTCTAATATATATTCTTTTTAAATGTCTGAGTAGTTTTTCCACTTTAAATACAATTTATTTTAATTTGAGAAACATTTTAAGTATTTTGGAGCAGTAAACATGTCAGGGTAAATAATTCAAATGGATCATTGACTTCTGCTGTCTTCATTAGTTTCTAAAATAGATTTCTTTACAATTTAAAGCTGTATTTTTGGGTATCTTTTCTTCTGGAGGTACTGTTGTCTGATAAAATTCCTGGTAGGTCATGACTGCTGTGACATGCGGAGGGACCAAACTGTGTGGTGGCATTGTGTAAAGGAGGATTTGCAGTGCTGATTAGGCAGACAGACAGACAGACAGACAGACAGACAGACAGACAGACAGCAGAAAAGTTTGACTGTCTTAAAACCTTGACTATTCCAAACTATGGTATACCTTGAAAACATATCCATAGTCAATATTTTAAATATTCCTTGATTTAATTTAATGAAAAGTCAATCACCCAGCTCTAAATACAATAATAATGTGTTATTTAAGAACACATCCTCCTTAGCAATTCAAGCACAGAAAACAGTGCACTCAGTGGAAGTGCATGTTTGCTAACCTGTGTGAAAAATAACATAATTGTGAAATCGATTGGCTTGCATCAGCTCACGGTACAGAAAGAGAAGTGTGAGAGGGCCTTTAGTGTTTTATTGGGATCTCTTCCCAGACTAGTGGCATGTGATGAGCTGTGGTTAATGATGGATAATTGGCTCAGTGAAATCCCATGGATCAATAGGATCCAGACAAGTCTTTCACCAGCCGAGCTTTAAGTTTTGGAACCAAGCATCCAGAGCAGCCTTGGCCTGGCCTTCACTGTCTTTTGTTTTTCTGAGGCGGCTACCAAGATTTTTCGCATGTTTCTTACAAGCATTAGTATTGTCCTTGTGATTCTGCTATTTTAGTTGGCTCTTGTACTTCTAGTTATTTTCCTGCATTGACTTTTGCCTTTTTGCTTGCACTTGAAATGCCATTCACAACCCATTGTACTTCATGGTTAATCCATCTCAAGTGGTCCAACTGATGTTAAATGTGCTCTGAAGTTCTTTTTATTTTCAAGAACCTCCCGAGGTTTTGCAAATGTCCATATAAACAATAGATGGCTGCTGTGGTTAAATCAGATAAAACCAAAATTGTGGTTTTGCAAAATCAGTGCATAGAAGTATCA